TGGCGTTGTCCCTGGAAGAAACGACTAGTTCAAGAGTTTGGTGTGGATAAAACCTATGAAAAATTAAAGAAAAAATATCTTTGTTTGGCCCCATAGAAAAAAAAAAATTGTATTTTGGAATAATATTTTTTTTGAGAATGTGTGGTTTAAAAAAAATTAAAAGATTTGAATTATATGTGATATTATTTTATTGGAGAATGTGTTGTTGATAAGAAGAGAGAAAAAAATGAATTATAATTTTATTGGAGGGCCAAACATGGATTATATTTTGGACCATGCTTCTTGTACATCAAAGAGTATATAAAGGTGTACATAATGGACACCCGGCATCATTTCATTGGAGGGAGTGCTGGTCCCACAGGCACTCCCTCCAATAGGAAGGTGCCGAGGGACACCTTTATGTACACTTTGATGTACATTTATCATTATCCTTATAGTTTATACAAGTGTAAAACTACTTGTACATTTTTGTTTACATCATTTTTTTACATAATTTTAGTTGACTATTTCTCATTGGTCGGTGACAATTTGTTTTTTGTGCAACAGCTAATGGGTTGAAAACCCAGCATCATGCAAACAAGAGTGTAAACAAAGTTGTACATGTATCATCTCCCTATAATGGTACTTTAGATTCTTTTAATAGAATTATTTAAAAAAAAAAGAATTTCATATGAATGCACGCCAAATATAGTTTGTCAACATTTCCTGTCAGAATTCTTTGTTTGATATAATGTCACGTGACATTTTATTATTAGACTATTTTAAATACAGTTAGTTTTTGTATCAAATCATCTGCTACTACCTCGGATTATATCACTGCATATGTTACAATTCTTTTAGCAAAGTTACAAAATCCCATTTTATACAATTATGATACATGTATATCATCATTTACATAATTTTTTACACTTTATCACGTGATAACACACTATTGGATGATTTAATTTTTTGATATTTTTTTCACCCAACGAACACTTGCAACATCAATAATAATTTTTTTGGGATAATTGTAGTAAAAGCCCCACACATTTAAAACATTAGCAGACTTTTCCCAAACTTTTGATTTGTTGTAGCAGTCACCCATAACTTTTCTAAATGTTACAGGTGAATCCTTTTTGAACAGTTTCCATCCATAATTCTGTCAATTGACCAAATATTTAACTTTGACCACATTTTTAATATTTTAAAAATG